CTATTGGATTAGTCTCGATGACCGCATGTAATGCAGGACCCTTTAAGTTTACTTCCTCAATTCTGTTCAAGTAGGCCTGTGATTGATTAGACGCTGCATCGGATACGTACTGGAACAGTAAGAGTCTACCTTGACAAGCTGAACACTAGTGAAGTGTCCTTTGACTAGACCATCTTGAAGTTCCACGATTGAAGCCTCGTAAAGATCAGGCAAAGCGACACCGGACGCCTTGAAAGTCATCAGATTCGAGTAGAGGAACGATAAGAGCCAGACCTACTAGGTTCGCTGTTTTGGGAAAATTGTCAAAGATAACTTAACGGACACCCGCGACAGTTATGATGAATCCAAATATGAATCCTGGGTAAAGGAATGACTGTCTCGGTTGTCACTGGATCTTGAGTTGAGAGGATCGTGAGAACATTTCATGATGAAGGCATTTACTAACACATCGGGGTGAACGATATTTAAAAGAGGTTTATATGTTGTACAAAATGTGAAAACAATATTTGATATTTAAACTAACATAAAGATGGGTGCACGACTTCAAATTTTGGTGGTGTTTTGTGTGTCATCCAAAATATCAAATATTCACAACCATATTCCCACAGACAATATGTCAACAAATATAATAAATATAATCAGATTTTCCATGTCTGCTTCAATTTAAAGTTTGATTCTTACATAAAACTTTGGAGAAAACTTGAAGCTTTGCCAAAGCTTGACATTTAAATCGAGTTTTAATGTCATGTCATCTGTAAAACTTCAAGTTTTCTCCAAAGTTTTACATGGAAATTGAACTTTAAGTTGAAGCAGACATGAAAAATCTGACTATATTTCTTATGTTTGTTGACGTATTGTCTGTGGGAATATGGTTGTGAATATTTGATATTTTGGATTACACACAAAACACCACCAAAATTTGAAGTCGTGCACCCATCTTTATGTTAGTTTAAATATTAAATATTGTCTTTACATTTTGTACAACATATAAACCTCTTTTAAATATCGTTCACCCCGATGTGTAAGAGCCCGTTCAGCAACCGATGTTTGAACGAAAAATTTGGGAAATCAGATGTTACCAGTCGGCACACACTACCGAAATTCAAGCTCAGTCTGAATAGTGAGCGAGCGGCCGATAATGTTGATAACATTGATAACATTTACGACGATAATCTGAATAGCTATGGATGTAGATGAGCCTGCTCATATCCGCTTTAACATATGACCACTCACAGTCCCACTCGTTCGACCAATAGTGCAACAAAATCGTCCCCCCTGGCCTCACCGTGCTGTGCTTCGGCATCGTATCATTCGCTATGTCGCGCTCATCCTCAGTCTCCTGCTGGCCGCAGTGCATGTCTTCATGCAGGACACTGATGAACCTGAGCCCTATCACACCTCAGCCCTCACAGGGCAAGAGTGGGTGATAGAACTCATCCTCGGCCATCCCGATCGCATTCGTTGTGAGCTCGGGGTCAATGTTGAGGTCTTTGAGAAATTGATAGAGGACCTTCACGCCCTTGGTCAGCGTGATTCATGTTACGTCTCACTTGAAGAACAGCTATCAATATTTCTCTATACGTGTGTGACAGGATTAACTGTCAGACACGTCGCAGAACGATTCCAGCGTTCAAACGCTACCATCTCTAAGTTCGTATTTTGATCTAGATCTCACACTCACGCTGGTACTGACACTCTCATAGGTATTTTTGCAAGATGCTAGACATCTTTGCATCCCACCCTTTCTACACTGAATATGTCCACCTCCCCGCTCCTGATGCACCAGTCTCGAGTGCCATTCATGACAACCCAAAACGTTGGCTGTACTTTCGCGATGCTATCGGCGCAATCGACGGGAGTCATATTCACGTGTTTCCTCCCTCAGCCAGTCACCACCTATACTACAACCGCAAAGGTTTCATATCGCAGAACTGCCTCTTCGCTTGCAACTTTGATCTTCAGTTCACCTTTGCGCTAACCAGATGGGAGGGGTCAGCAACAGATGCTCGGCTTTGGGATGTAGCGCACCATGATGGCTTGGACATTCTGCCTGGAAAGTACCTTCTTGCAGACCTTGGTTTCCCCTTGTCCCGACAACTTTTAGTTCCGTACCGTGGTGTACGGTACCATCTAGCAGAGTGGGGTCGTGCTAGCGTCAGGTAAGTACTTTTCTCTGCAGTGTATCTCAACTAACAATACTCATTTTAGACCAGTTAACAAGGAAGAACTGTTCAACCTTCGTCACACATCTGCTCGCAACGTTATTGAACATATTTTCGGCATCATGAAGCAGCGCTTTCGCATTCTGTTAGTATCGCCAGAGTACAAGATAGCCATCCAGGCTCGCATTCCCGCGGCACTGTGCGCTCTGCACAATTATATACGTATTCACAACCCGGACGAAGAGCCGCTCCCTCACAGGGCTGTATTTAACGACAACCCTACCCATCAGGGCCAACCTGCTCAAGGTGGTCCTGATGTTACTGATCCAATGGTTGAGGATGACGTTGTTGACAATGTAAGTGCGAATGTCTTTCGTGATCGCATGGCCGCAGAGATGTGGGAGGACTACCAGAATATCTTACATGAGCGCAATTTAGTAGACATCGCTCACTCATTAGACATCAACGAGGATCCAGAGGACATTGAGGACATCGACCAATATTATGGGAGCGAGGATGACAATGAAAGTGATGCTTAGAAATACGTTACATTGTAGTGTACATAGAGCTACAAATGATAACGTGCGGTTCATCTAATGTGGTGCGAACAAATGAAAGGATACAGCAACGCATACGGCAATGAGTGAGACAAAAAGTAAAACATGACGACAATGACAATGTTTAAAACACACCAAATTCCCCCCTGGCAGCCTGGTCAAGAACAGATCACAAGTAGGGGACCCGTCTTTCAGGCTTGGCAGCCAAGTAGATGGCACATACTGCTGGGCTCCTTGCGAACACGTTCATGAGCGTGATGGACTCATCTTCTGTAATCAGCTCCTCCTCCTGCATGGCGAGCACAGCCTGTAGCCTTTCATCCAACACCCGAGTTTCATTTTGGTCGGTGTTGGATGCCGATGTGCGAAGGCTGTCTGTCAGGCTGTTGATGGAACCTTGCAGGTTCATGAAGACAGCAGTGCTGGCAGCGTCTTTGGCAGCCTTAGAGCCTTTGTGACTGCGGCCGGCTTGACTTTTACCTTGTGTCGACAACTTTGGCTTTTTGTCGACATTGGAGGCATGGGATGAATCTACCAGTGACGTAGTTTGGGCGGTGCTGGGGGACAAAATCATGTCGGAATGCGAGCGTTTGCCCGTACTGGAGGGCGCAATAGAAGAGGGGGGAGGGGGAATGTTCATGGAACTTCCAGCGACTCCAGGAGTGATGGATGGGAGGGCTGACTTGATCTGGTCCCATCCAGCTTGTGGCACAGTAGTGAGTCTAGATCTGCTGGCCTCAGCATTGGGAGCCTCCGGTGCTTGCATGGATAAGGAGGATCCACCGGCTTCAGCATTGATAGGAAGAGCCACTGATGCTCCCGCAGCCAAGGAAGCTGGATTGTAGGCGGATGCCCCCTGAGCGCCACTCCCATTTGGGAGAATCTCCGACATCTTTTGCCAGTGTCTCCATCCGTTGTTTTGAAAGGTTTCATCACCTGTGAATAGGGAGTGAGTAGTAGACAAGTAATAAATACAAACATACCTTGTTGGAATTATTAGCGGTAATAAATTGGTTCCACTGGAGTTCCGCTGCTTCCCCCTGAATATTGGCGCCGTTAACATTGTCCCAATGACATCCGGATCGGTTGTTGCGATATCTCTCGATGGCATTGTAGATTTGTTTCAACTATAAGGGTTATTAATGATAAGTTAGTGATGCAGCTAGGGAGTAGGATACAAAGACATACTGCTTGCCATTTCCTCTTACACTGTACCATGTCCTTGTCTGGGCCTTGCTTCTGAAGTCCCACAAGTTTCTTTGCTGCCTCATGGAAGGTCTCATCTTTGAAAGTCATCCCAGTGATCTTTGACACCTGCGATTGGAGATAGACCAGGAATGCATCGACCTCCTCCTCACACCACTGAGCTTTAGGTTTACTTTCACCCTTCTGAGTCATCATGTAGAGTTGGAACTGAGTGCAGAGGATGATGGCAGCTACAGTTGAGACGATCTGCCTTCACTGATAAGAACTGATTCGTCATTGGCTTGTGCTGGCAGGCATGATTAGAGTAGAGTTCATTAAAACTCCGTCACAAACAGCTTCCGCGCCGTTCCAACGCAATCCATACATAAACATAAATTTTGTTCAAACAACGGTTGCTGAATAGGCTCTTAAGCTGTGGCATCGACATCAGAGAATTGATGAGTCTGTGATATGGTGGCCGTGAGAACTACAGTAGGATATCATTTTGTTTAGGCTAACTATGGGTATGTATACCACAATAAATTTGATTTATTGGTACATAGCAATGTATGTCTGAAAATTAAGTTTCCTATGAGGAGTTCACGACAGGATCATGACATTGCGCCATCAGCAAACTACTTGTTTTGGATACAGGATTCTCACAGCATTACAACCGGCACAGAGCCACACAGCGTGCACAGTGTTACAGTGTACAGACTCACAGAGTCACACAGACCTACAGAGACTCACAGGAACTTTGCAGAGATCTACAGGAACTTGCAGAGCACCATTGACTTATTTTAATTTTAAATCACAAGTATCAAGTATTACTCAAATTACAGTAGTTTAATCACATGAAGCGTGAAGTCTTATCACACCGAACGTAAGTCCAAATCACAACAAAGATACAATTTGCAATATACTATGGCTCGGAATATGATTGTATAGACACTATTACAAAATAAATCTACAAAAATAAATGTTTCAATCAGAGCGCTTGAAAAAATTAGATATTACTGTATACATTCGACCTTAGGTTTGTGGGGGTTGTGGTGTGACATGACATAATGGTAGGTTCGCATGTTCGTTCACCACCATGACCTGTGATGAACTTAGAATAGGTTCGCTGAGGTGGTCAGACCACCCTTGGAGGACTTGGAGTCTCAGAATTTGATTGAATCTATGCTACTCAATTGATTATCAGTCAACAACATGCACTATTTAAAATTTGTTATATCTTGCAAATAAATATGAGAGAACCAGATGTCACAATTTTAGGTTCATCCTCACCAGATGCTTGTGACTGTCACACGAAATAGGTTCAGTTCGGGGTGTCGGCGATGCTGTGATGAACCTAAGGTCAAATGTATACAGTAGTGCTACATATACCTCATAAACAAATGAACAACATACTACCACGACCAGAAATCAAAACAGATTTTGAATGCCAAAGTGTTCGCTCTGAGCATGTAAAGCTGCTCCTTGTCATGAGAGTGCGTGTGCGTCCTACATGCATTTCTGCATCAGCAATTTTTTCTTCACATTTTTCGCTCGTAGTTGCCAGTAACATGTGTGTATATTCAGCTGGTGAAGAAGGCGCTCGGCAAGGTCTTGTTCAACATGTTGAACCTCCAGATCTGCTCTTGCCATCTCGAGTAAGTACATGGCTTCCTTGGCGCTCTCTGGTGAGGTGGTTTCTGTTGAAAGGTTCTGCTGAAAGTCTGCATCAGTGCCTTGTAAACTAAATAGACAACTCACCCTATCAAGTGCAAGAACTGAATCAGAAGTATCTGAGTCGTCTGATTCAAATTTAGAGTCTATGAGCCAGATTAAATATTATTTTAGTCAGGAAAAAGAACATACTGTAAGGAGAATGACATCTCAGGCGTGTCACAGTGGGACTAGAAGGCGCAGAACCTTGCTGCAAAAGTCAGTCTGGGTACATCGTGGTGTTAGTTCAAGGTCACTCCAGAAATTTCCATTAGTACCTACTACTGACTATACTACTGAAAGCCGACTGAACTCCTGGACATGTGCTGCCTGTCCTGCAGCAAGTGTTTCAAGAATGATAAAGGTGTGCTACAGCACTTGAATCAGCCCAGATCACGATGCTACAGTTGGAATGACAACCTTGTTTGAATCTTGTCCGAGTCATGACTTCTGGTACTACCTCAAGATAAATTGGCCTTTAATGAAGACATGGTAATCTACAATGACATGGACATGGACGTGGACGTGGATGTGGACATGGGTGCAGACTTAGGCGTGTATGAGGATGAGCATGCTGGTGTAGAGGCAGGTTATGAGGAAGAAGTTTATGATGGTGCAGCGAAGACATACGGCATTGGAACGACATTTATGAAGACTTTCAACTCTGATGAGTATGCTGTGGAGAGGATGGATAATCCCTACTTCCCTTTCGCTAGCAAACCAGACTGGGAGATGGTGGCATTTCTTCTTCGGTCAGAGCTCAGCATGATGGATATCGACAAATATCTTCATCTTGAATTTGTAAGTCTATCTATATTCTACTGTAGCTATGTCTGAACTTATGTTTTTAGACCAGAAAATTACCCCTCTCATTTCGCTCTTCGAGAGAGCTTTGAGGACGTGCAGAAATGCTACCATCTCCTCCTTGATGGAAGTACCAAACTGTCCTCACCGAATTCCCAACAACAAAGACTCTTTGTGTCTTTTACCGGGATGCCATTGAGTGCTTACAGTCACTCCTTAGTCACCCCTTGTTAGTCAACAGCTTCGACTTCATTCCATGGAAAGTCTATGAGTCTGCTGAACGTGCGGTCCGTATTTACTATGGTTTCATGACTGGTGACCGTGCTTGGGAACTTCAGGTACGTTTGCCTCTCAATTTACTGACTTAGTGTTGCTAATTAAGAACACAGGAACACCTCACTGATGGTGCGACTCTGCTTGGCATAGTCCTGTCCTCAGACAAGACTAAGGTCAGCAATCTCTCTGGCAATCGCTATGCTCATCCACTGCTTATATCATACAACTGACCTGCAAAACAGCGAAAAATCATCACAAAGGACACTCCTCAAACTTTGGCTCTTTTACCTGAATGCTCTTCTCATCAAAATCTCACTCTCTCAGACTGGATGATGGTCTATTCATTCATTGACTCTCATCCTAATGTCACACAAGCTGAAATTGTACAACACTTTAAATCTCTCAAATCTGGTGCTCTCATTTTCATACAGTCAACTTTGTCTCACAAGTTAAGGGAAAGGTCCAAAATGGAAGCCCATGTCAATGATAACCCTAATGCATTATCATCAAAATGGCCAAGGGTTGTCACCAGACCTGATGTCAAGCATGCCTTGATTCTGTGGATCAGGCACATGGAAAATAAACATGAAACAGTGACTGAGCCCATGTTACGAGAGAAACAGAAAAGGTTTGAGGACGAGTTTGATGTCCCAGACAATAAAAGGCTGTTAGGGGAAGCATGGATTCAGTCATTTTGCAAAGCCTACAATATCCGCGAGTACCGACAGCACGGTGAATCTGGATCTGTGGACACTGAAGCTGTTGCTGCAGAACAAGAACATTGTCGCAGGATTTTAGCAAAATTTGCTCATCAAGATCAGTGAAACTTCGATGAGACATCCTTCTTTCCATAGTGAGTGTTCATTTCATTTTGTAATTTGCAGTGCTTAATTTATTTATTTTTAGTGCACCTCCAGATCGTGGTCTCACAACACAACAAATGAGTGGCAAGAAGAAGGAGAAATTTCGCATATCCATTGGGTTAGCTTGCAACACAGATGGAAGTGAGAGGCTCAAGCCTATTTTTATCAGCAAGGCAAAGAAACCACAATGCTTCAAGAAGCAGTCACCAGAACAGCACAGTTTCTATTATCGAAACAATAAGAAGGCTTGGATGACCGCAGTTCTATTTGAAGAGTATGTTAACATGATCCTGTGACTGCCAATGATACCTAATGTGTTGTCTAGATGGGTCAAAAAGTTTGATCTTCAAATGAAGCAACAAAATAAGCACATTTGCATGTTTATTGATAACTTCTCTGGTCACAGCATCTTGTATCAACCATCAAACATCGATCTCGAGTATTTTGGGCCCAATATGACACCATTCGTGCAACCATGCGATGTTGGAATTATTTGATGCTTCAAGGCAATATATCACCGGAATTTTTGTGCACGCACGATTGTCCTTGATGATGCTGGCAAACGAGACATTTATAAACTCAACATTCTCAAAGGTATGACAATGGTGAAGCAGGCATGGTACACCATTACATCTGAGACCATCAAACATTGCTGGGATCACACTGAAATCCAACTGTGAGTCAATTATTTGATGTTCTCATTTTTGGTGCTCAATTTTTTGTGGCAGTGATCCAACAGTAGGCCTAGACTCGAGGCCACATGTCAATCCTGCCACATGGAATATTGTCCACAAGTTCACAACCACTGAAATGTCCCTTCCAGCAGCCAAGAATGACCTGAAGGCTCATCTTGCAAACACTATGTTGATTCAGATTGGCAGCCAGCTCTTAAAGCTGTCATGGATGCCGAAGGAGACACAGATATTGCCTTGAATGCTGTAAATGCACTTGCAGAAGCTGCATCTTGTCGCACTCGGCTCAAAATTCATATTCCCGTGCATTGAAAGCAAGCAGCTGACCAACTTTCCTCCACTGAAGCTGACCTTATGCAATCTGTCAACAATCTCAAGGTGCGCAATTGTATTTTCAGTCAATTACCAACTCTTGATGAACTCCTGGACCCTGCTGAGGAGAGAGATATGGGAGAATTTCCCATGTTTGAAGGTGGTGACAAAGCCATTGCAGATGAGGTCTGTCATGAAGTTACCATTGCAAGTGGTGAAGTCATTGAGATTGATTCTGATGACGATGACGATGATGATTCAGCGGCTGCATCAATCACATGGACAGATCTTCTTGATTTGTGCCAGCAACTCGAAGTTGGATGCATGCAATATGGTGATCCACAGCTTTCACTCAACTTATCATCACAACTTCATATATTTCATGCTCAACTACAATGAGAAGAACTACTTAATGCTAGCAGACCTCTCTAGAACAATTTTTCTCGGTATGATCAGCAGATACTTGATGTCACACTTTTGGTGGAGGTCACATGCATCACAAAAATATGACATACATGGTGTTGCATATCACTCATAATGCATAAACTATTGACGGTCCTGACAGTATGCATTATGAGCATATCTACTGTAGTGTAATTAGGTACCGTTTGTTGAGCAACATCATATTACCTCATTTTTATTTGACTTACAAAAATATATAGATCGATTCAAATATTGCATGAATTACAATAGAATCTAAGGTCATGCACATGACTAACCCCAAATCATGTGAGCAGCGCAAGTGGTTGAAATTGATGTGTCATTATTTGTTCATTGTTTGTGCAAGGACAGAAAATTTCGCGCAAGTTCCTTTCAACTTTGTTTCACTGCTACTACCACCACCCTCTCGAGCCCAGTGAATTTCCTTGTGGTTCCTCCCTTGTCCTTCGTGGTGGTCCCTCCCTGGCCTTTCCTCATGGTTCCTTGCTGGCCCTCCCTCATGGTCCCATCCTGGCTCTTCCTTGTCACCATTCCCTCTCTGCTATCTTTCTTTTTTATTATATATCATGTAATTACATATGTATTCAAATATAAATAAAATTGATTTTTATTGAATTTTTTCATAAATGAGTGCTAAGAAACAATGAGTGGTGACAATCTGGTGTTCTAGGTAGTTCTGTTAAATTTACTCCAGGTAGTATCATTCTGACAGATACCATATAAATTTTATGTTAGATAAAGCTTTGCAAAGCTTTATATTGTCGGGTCGATTAGTTGATGTTTCGGAGTTGTGAACCCCCCTTTCATTATGGCATTCCATACAATTTTATACAAAAATCACAGAAGCGTCTTTCCTCTATAAGGCCAAACATAACAATGTGATTGTCGATAGCAAAATTACACTAGTTCTTGTGATTATGTACTATATTTTGTTATTTATTGCTATGTACTTTCCTCACAAGTTCACTGATGGATGAGTCTCCACTAGGCAAGAGCACAGATAAACCCCTGGGTGTGGGAGGGCAGACCCACACCCATACCCACTTGATGGGTATGGGTTGTATAGCGGGTATAATGTTAGAACACCCATGGTAGGACCCACCATGGGTATACCCACAGGTTTGTGTTGAAAAATGTACCTATGACAGAAAATGATCATGTACTACAAGCTAATGGCATCCCATCCATCATCCATCTCAATGTCATCACCCTTAACATCTGCAAGCGTGCTAATAGACATCACGTCTTCAGTGTTGATGAGATTGAGTCTGCTCCAAAATCCAAGACACAAGAGGGCTCGAATCGACTGAGCATTGAGATGTGAGTGCATGTGAGAGAGTATCAGGCGACCATGACTGAAGAGTCATTTGACATCCACTGAAGTTGCTATGAAGTACTGTGTGAGTCATGAACACATAAACATACCAATAAAAGTAGTTACCTGGAATTGTAAGAGAGTCCAATGTCATCCATGAAAGATGAGGGTATGATGTATGGTGTTCATGCCACCACACAAGAGGATCGACGATGTGCTTGACATCGGTGCTGAGGTAACAGTCCAATTCATCTCGAAGGTCCATGGTTTGAGGTGGCACAAGGGCAGCCATGTTGTCAAACATATTCTAGTAGTAGGAGTTCATAAGTTAGACAGTTAGTAGCTGTAGTACAAAAAAATTGTACTCACAGGAACAGCTGAATTACCAGGGCCAGTACGAGTCTCTGAAATCACAACGTCGTTGATGCTGTTGCTGTCACCATCGAGACCTAAGTACGACCACTTGAATTTGTCGTGAACTAGGGTCTCCGCTGTATTGATCCACCTTTGCTCCCACTTGGCGTGTTTGAAGTAGGATAGTTTGTGACGTGGATGAAGCACTACATTGAAATGATAATGTCAGCAATAAGAAAAGATCACAAAAATATGTACCCATGGCAATTCGATAAACCTCTGAACTATCTGTTAGCTGATAGTAATGGTTCAGAGTTTTCTACACAAGTCCTGCAGCAATGCGGATTGAGGGAATAAGTTTTGAGTCCATTGAGTACTTGGTGAGTGTCTCATCAATGAGGTCCATTGCAGGGATGATGGTGGCTAGGTTGGGTGTCAAGCGTGAGAAAAATAATGTGGCACCCTTGAGGATCTGTAGTACACTGTTAGTGATGACACCACCAGTGCGATAGTGGCAAGACTTACCTTCAAAATGTCTCGCAGTTGCTCCAGGATGGCCCACTCATGGTTAGTCAGCTCGAATTTCCTCAGCCCTAAGTCCTGACATTGTGTTATCATGTCAACTGCTGCTCGGTGCTTTAATGCTTGCTCTAGCATATTGAATGTTGAGTTCTATCGTGTCGAAACATCTTGAGGCAACATCTGTGCCAACATCTTAAGTTCTGCTAGAATATTGTACCATGCAGGCAGGATCTTGGTGGTGGTAGAGTGTATTATTTTGTATGACAATTTCCATATCTAATTAATGTTTGTCAACAGCAAATTGTAGTTGACTTATTGAGGACTAGCCTTGGAGAGAGCATTTTTGACAGGGCGGATGCTACCCTGCAGCTCTTTTTGCTCATCAACATTCAGTTGTTACAACTTGGATAGGTCGAGCCTCCCGATGCTGAATGGCAGGTCTCTAAGCGATCTCGCGAAGATGGAAGGACGGTGGTCTAGCCTTGGATGAAGCCCAAGGGATCCTCTGACAAGCTTGGTAAGCGCTGCGGCTCGTCAAGCTGTAGGACTAACAGATATACGGCTAAGGTAGCGTCAGCTTGCCTTAGAAGTGCGATCAAGACAGAGGGACTGAGGTCACTCTGAAGGGATGAACAAGTACTGGGATTGTACTAGTTTCTAGGGAATACCAAGTAGATCAAAGTAAGGAATACAATGATATCAGTCTAAGTTATATAGCCATATGCTATAAGGTTTGATAGGAGCCTGTATCATGAATCTATCTGAGTCAGAGATAAGATGAGGTGAGGCAAGCCTTGCTTGTCTGATAAGATGCATGAGGCGCCTCTTCTATGTCAAGATACATACATGAGGCATACAGCTGTCATGATGGGATCGGGAGGCCTTCCGGGCCATAGTAAAGTCATAGTGGTTCCAGACCGCTGTCAGTCAGGACCTAGGCTAGGTCCGGCAATGTTATTGTAACATCAGTATCACAGCAGCATCAATCAACCCATCAATGTTGTCATCGACATCTTCGTCATTTTCCCCAGAACCAATATCAATATCACCGGGATCAGCAGCATCACCCTTGTCCCCCATGTCTCCGATATCACTTGCATCATCATCTAAACTGTATTCAACCATGTCACCATTTTTGACCTGTTTCGCATCAAACTCACGGAGAATAGATTTCGCAACCAAATTCACAGTATGGAGGAAGCATCGGGTGTGACCCGCATGTCCACCAAAATTCAGGAGCTCTATAGTGAGCTCATCAATCATCCAATTGTTGTTGGATGCATTATTGCATGTGATGGATAAGTTGAATTTCTTCATATAAAAATCAGCTGAGAGCTCACTTTATCTGTTATTCCAAACTCTTCAAGGATACCTTCAAATGCATGTGCGAGCTCCTCCCTGTCATGTGACTATCATAATATCAGCAATGCATCATCTTATGTGAGTGATTTTGTACCTTAGCTACTTTGACAACATCTAACGGAAAGCTTAGTGCTGTGCCATTATGTTCTAAGTGGACTGACACAGCAACAAAGCCATGATGGTTGGGGGACATCCAAGCATCCATCGAGAAGTTCAGCTTACCAGCATATTCCTAGTACGTGTTTTTTTTGTTTCAATTCATGTCCAGACGATACTAATCAAACTAACCTTTATCATCCTAGCAATTTGCTGCTGTGTTTGCACAAAAACGAGTTGCACATCCCTCGAGACAGTTGACTTCGACGGTATGTAATATTCAGGCCTACCCATCTTCATGAGTGACTGAAATCCCCTGTCCTACACAATTTCATATGGACGCAGACTTTCTGAGATCCAATGAACAAATTCAGCCCCGAATACTACTGTATCAGCCATCAAAAATATCAAAAATACTGTTATCATACTTTGTCTCATTCCAGGTGTGCTGTTGATACGAGTACATCACTGTTCCCTTTCCTTTTCTCTCGAATGACACCGTAATTGAACCATTTCATAGGATTCCACCAATGATCTTCACCTGAACCTCAGCAGCATTCTTTGCTTGATCGGCTGCTTGCAAGACTTTGTCACCCCAGCAAGATTTAACATGCTTTTGCATGTTGCCAGTGGACCTTGCATCCTTTTTGTCAAGGAATCAGCAAATTGTGGCTTTGCATCCTCATGCACAGCATTTGAACTCATGTGCACGCTGTCCATCAAGCTCAACAATGCGGGGGGCAGGCTCAAAAAATGCATAAACAGGTGATACCCATTCCTTCATGAGTTGTTCTGTCGTGCAGCTAATTGGTAGTGTTTTTTTGTATAATAGAATCATGCTTTGCTTGTCCTCAGCACTCTCTGGAGCTGGACTCAGACTCAGACTTGGGTTGTGCTACTTGTTGTATTCACTTTCATCAGCAACAATGTCATCGTCATACAGTGCTGCTTCCTCTTCCTCAGTCCGAACAACAGCACAACAACTCTTGCCAGGTTCCGGGCTGTTCCCACATTGAGTGGTTCGGGTGTACCAGTGAGAGGGTTTTGTTTTGTCTTCTTTGGGTGGTTTGAGGTGATGCTCGCACTCTTGGGATCTGCCTTCTGCTTCTTGGATGGGCCAACAGCTTTGAGCCTGTCTTCGAGTGCTGCCTTAGCCTTGTCCATTAGCTTCATGACACATTTTGCAGTGGCTGTGAATATGTTTGGGTGCATGGCTAGTTTGTAAGTAGGGCAGGTAAAACTTGGATGATAATAATATTGTGGCTTTATTAAGGTTTCGCTTTGGTGTAGGTACTATACATGCAGCGGAGTTTTGATCAGGTACGGACATATATTGTTTTGATGGTAGAACCCGAGTGAGTGTGCAGGTGAGTGTGCGGGTAGTCCAATGGCAGACCCGCACTCATACCCGAAGGGTACCCGCACCTGCCACCTGCACGGGTTACCCCAACCTGTGCTCTTGCCTAGTCTCCACAGTGGTTTCAGGGTGTGAATGTTGTCTTTTGGAGGTGTGTTGTGATATCTGTAGGCTGGTCTCAACTTGGCTGATAGTATTAGGTACTTCTGGTCCTTCAATGCCTGGTTGAGGGATCTCGGCTCATTCTAATTCTTCTAAGACTGTACCTTTTCAGTACTTGGACTGCAGCTCAGGCCAAAGCTGAGCCAAAGCCAGCCATCACTGGCGGCTTTGGCCTGGCCTGGAATTTTCGAAAGCCCAAGCCATCTGAAGCCAGGCCAAAACCATGGCTTTTGAGCCAAGCTGGGCCAGAACATCACTAGACGGGAGGGACATGACAAAGCATAATCATTTGCGAGTCATTCTGGATTAGGTTTCGGGTGTTTTTCATTTGTGTGTTCTTGTCATTGCTTATACTAACACTTACTACTACATGTTTCTGTTTATCTGTGAAATGAATATATTTTAGTGATTCTGCTTATTTTTAGGTGTTATATTTGCAGTGATTTGCCTATTTTTGAATGCGAGAACAGTGGTGCAAGAATGCCTGCTACTGGACAGTAGTATACAATGAGATTTGTGGTGAATTGTGTACAAAAATGAAGTTCTTGGGGTGTCTGTGAATGTCTGTACAAGGATTGACAGGGAAAGGTGTTACTGTAGTAAGCTATCCAGAAGGGACCAAGCTGTCTGCCTCTCACACTGTACAGAACCCAGTAGTTTACTGATGGAGCAACAAAGATAGGGGAATGTCAATACGAGCTTTTATGCTAGCATCTAGGAGCAGATCCACTGCCAGTAGTAGACATGGAGGTAGCAGAAAGAAACATGTTGGGATGTTTTTGGACACCCGGACACCTGATACTGGCAGTAGCAATATATCATATTGGCTTATAAGCCATAAACTACAATACATTGAGGGATGTAGCTATCCATGCTATGATACATCAGTCCTGTAAGGTTGTCTATAGCTATATCACATGTATGCAATTGCCAGAACACCGTTGACCTCCGTACAACGGCCAATGTGTGCCTCACCACCAAGTATATGCCCCGGCTGAAATTCTCAATTGTGGACAATCTGGTCTTCGATCTTGATCCCTCACTGCTTTTGGAACATGTTATCACATTGAGGTGTTCAATCTCAATCAATCTCAATCCCCCACTGTTTTCGGAACACATTATCTACACATTGAAGAATGGGACGTTTGATGCGGCCACGGAACCAATTTTGGAGGCTCCTCAGCTCAATCATGTTGTCAACAATTTTCTCATAAGATAAAAGACTAAGCCATCCATAGGGAAGCGGAATGCCTATCATAAGAACCATACTAGATATAAAATCAGTCAACATTATCAATATCTTCGAGAGGAGGAGCTTCTAGTGATGGTCCCTCATCACAATCGAATGACATGTCTTTGGCAATGTCCACATCACCATACACAGATTCCACAAGCCCTGCAACACCAGCCCACCTGTCCTCAAAACTCATCAACAATGCACGGCGAACAGCACCCTGACACTTGGCATATGCCACAAATCCCTCTGTCTCCTCAGCCCTTACAAATGTTTGAAGGGTTGCACGTTCCTCCCACCATTGTATATGCCACTTCAGGAAAGCCAATACATGCTGCATTTCCTTCATGAGTAACTGAATTTCTTCATGCCACCGGTTGTGGCGCGCCCTGGCCTTGCATCATTCAACGTGGAGAGCTAGAGAAATAATGTGTTAGTTACTGATAGACTCATGCTTGGACAACTACTCACAGTCCTGAAGACCAGCACTATTGTCAGTGGAAACTCCATGTGTCAGCCAAATCCAAGACATAATAGCGGTACCCTGGGTTTGTCCTCCAAAGTCTCCCATAGGCCGAAGGTCTGACTTTTTGAGTGGTTGAAACCTCCGCTGCCAACCAATGTGATCAATGTGTGCTGAAAGCACGAGAAGTGCTTTGTGAGCACAGCAGTATTTTGCATGAGACATTGCCAAGCGGTTTTCTAGTGTGTCAACAGTCTTGTGTGCTTGTGTGTTGGCACCTTGCCCACAGATGTTTTGAGCTTTGAAATGTAGTAGCTGGATTCAAAGGCGAATGTGTGAACGGCACTCAGTGAGTGCATCGTTGGCTTGAGCATACTGCAGTGACCACTCGAGTTTGAGGAGCTTCAGATCGCAAACAGTGAGATCACAGACATCGGAAGGGAAAAGGAGTGGGAAATCCTCGGCTTTCCCGGAGTCAGGCTTTGAACTTGGTAAGCCGCTGTCATCATGGCCAGTATTTTGTAGATGGAATTGATGGGAGAGGGTTGTAGCACGCAAGTTGGCAACAATGGGCATGTATAAAACTTGAACACTAGACCATGCTTCAACCCGGCATTGCAGTGCATTCCTGCAGGTCACAATGTTTGCTCTCTGGGTGTCAGTCGCATGCAGCCCAAGTGCATCTGCATCTACCCAAAGATGATGTCTTATATCAATGTCAGACATCATATTTATTGAGAACAAAACCATGAACTTACTGTGCATGCTCGAGATCTATGGCAGTGCTAATGAGCACACTAGGTGTTACTTCAGCATGGAGTGATATGATGGCACCATCCTCAAGCTCCCTGGCATCCTGTTGCCTAAGGGCGAGACAAACTGCAGGCTGTGTCATTTCTGAGAAGTGACACTGTGAATCAAACCATGATACAGATTGAATAGATGCACCAACAACTCTACTATCAAACAGATTTGGCTTTGTGTGATCAGTCTCCCATGCCTTGATCTCATTTTTCCACTCAGCGATGTATGCAGCACCCAACTCTGAAGACTTGATGGACCCCTCGAGTTCTTGAAGTGCAGCACAATGGTCTTTCTCTGCCTTGACAGCTTCCTTGATCTTGCGCAACATTGTTCGCCCTGGAGATGATGCCATGAGAATACTATATAAATGATAACTTAAACTTAAATAGAGTATTGACTTGCTGAAACCTGATATCTTCTTCCAATTCCAGTCACCAAAATGGTCATTGAGGGTGTCCCGACGAGCTCCTGGACCCATTTCCTTCATACTTGCAGCCACATGATTAATATTTGCCCATCCATGCTCCGGTGCTTCTACATCCATTCAACCGACCCAAGGAGTCAAATTGAATGAAAATTTAGTTTGACATGCTTTGATGTGGGCGTCCAAGTGGAATTTTGGGACAAAATAATTTATCACCTTACTTGGATGATCAAGGTGAAGTGCAGGAGGAAGGCTAGGCATGCGACTCCAGAGTTTTTTGTGCCACTGACAGGTGATGTCATAGGAGAAGTTGAAGACAATAAGCTGTGAAAATGCAATGAGGGCTGAGAATATGAGGTAATCCATGTGAAGATACCTAGGGAAGGAATATGAGAACTCATTTGGTTGAAAGGACAGAAGTTAGCCTGACTTCTCTCCTTTCTGTAGATCTCCAACACTGTTTGGAAGCTTCATATCATGGCAAGCACAGTCTACCGTACCGACTCCGGTAGCAGCGAGCCCCTTCGAACTCTTTGTATCCGCCATGTTCACAGCATTGTGACTAACACATGTACTTTTCTAGTCCCAGTCAGTCTTACTAGGCTGGAGACAATGTAACAGTATCACACTCACCTCTTGTAAGACCTCGCTATTCATATTGATGTGCACCTTATACTTACCTTCTTCCACAAAATAACCCCACCCGTGGCCTAAACCTGGATCTTTGCTGTCAGTTGACACCAGATGCCACTTCAGGCAAAAGTTTGTATCAATCGCCAAAAAAAGGCTGTACATCCATCTGTCCCATATTTCAGCTCAGACTGTGGCCGCATGACACACACACTTTGAATTAAAATACTCACCATTCAGATCGTGGCACATTCTCCCAACCTTCCAGAAGATTCTTGCCAGGCTGTGGGCAAGCTGGACACAATACAGCCAGCTCCCCCTCTTGTGTTGCCTCAATACCTGCAGGATCGTGCCCCTGCCCGGATCGTTTCAGTGCCTTCAAGTGTTGCCACTCTGATACTATGTGAAGGAACACAGAATAACGATCCTGTAAATCAATAGTAAGTATGTAGAGTCAATTACAGTAGAAAAAGCAGCAATACACAATGGAGATGAATTGTGTGAAATTGGGATGACTCTATGAGTAAGGCCAACAAGCAAAGAAAAGCCATGCGATGCATGAACCGAAATAGACGAGACAGAAAAAAGATGAGAAAAAGGCACTTGGTGGGTACTTACACGAATTGGCTTAGTACCAATGTTGTTGGTTCTCCATGTAAGAGAATGATAGAATTTGTAAGCAGAGACTTTGGACTCGAATGAAAGAAGGTGGAAAAGTTGAAGAATAGCAAAAGTTGCCACTGTTCTGGGATCAATTGTTGTAGCTGGGAACCATTGTGCACGAAGAAGCTGTTTGTAGCAGGATGGTGCATGTGTGCACCCACAGTAGTCAAGCTTTATCTCATGTATCCCATGTACATCGATGACCACGAAATCATCATCGTAGGCTGCTCTGCAGCTATTACACTCTTCCCCTGGCCTGTGACCCAACTGGACATGGAGACCCAGTGACATGAGCAAGACTGTGTGGAAAAGGTCATCCTTCCATTGCTGGAGTGTCCAGAAGTTAGTGTCTTGTGATACATAGTAAGGGAAAAAAACTTACTTTGATTCTATGTAGGGGCGTGTGGTAGTGTGACTGAACAATGCAATCATAGCAGACCAGCTCGACCAAGAAACAATCTTCGCATCTGAATTCTGCAGATAACACATCACACCAACACTGACTTTCCCCACCTCTGCCTGTTACAGTAACATGGCGTGAGCCCCCAGCTACCAATATGCCCTCTGCCACCTTGCACGGCAATGATACGATACCTAGGCCTTTAGGCCTTGATGATAGATGATGAATAGAAGAGAAGCCCAGAAGATGCCAGCTTAGATAAGTGGTCTGGACTGCATATGACGACATAGGTCTAGAAGACCTATTTATGTTATCAAGATAGAAGGCAAGCCTCATGGTTGCCTCATGCACTGATAGAAGGACGCCTCATGGTCCTTATCTTAGATAAAAGCCTGCCTCATGCATGGTATCTCTGACTCGATAGATAAGCAGATTAGAACCCAGCTTCAAGCTGAGCTTAGATATGATAGAGTAGCCTTATATAAGGTCGACAATTAAAGTAGATGTTCCTTACTTTAATCTTACTGGGTTTTACCTTGAACCACTTGTCTTGCTAAAGCTACTTGCTTGACATCCGATCCGCACCTTCAGAAGGACTTGAGACCCCTTCTGCCTGTAATCGCTATCATTGCTCACTTCCGCTAGCATACACAACTCCTGCTTGTCTGTAGGAGCCGACCTTGGACTCTCAGCACAAGGTATCACTGTCGTGATCGTCACTGTTAGATTACCCTAGTCTGCCTACGACTTACTGTCGTAACACTGCCCTCTAAACGAATAAATTTGTCAAGGTATGATTCTTGTTCTTCCAGCCAGAAAGCAAGCTCATCCTATCCAAGCTGAATGAGCTCACCATTTATATAGATGGAAACAACATTTCTATGTACCCGTCTGGTTCATTTTGCTTTGATGACTTCTTCTGTGACAGTAGTAGTAGGCTCGTTCTGTACAGGCTCAAATTCCACTTCATTCCATGGATCGGCTAAGTTATTATTGGGAGATTCTGGAGACTCAGCCACCGAGTCAGAAATACTGAGTGGGTTTGCTGGGAGATAGGATGTACACAAGGCAAATTCCCCATCTTGTTGAAGAGCAAATATTTGGTGCCTGTGAATGTGCGCAGCTGCAGAGTCGGTGCTAATTGTATGCCTCACAAGTTTTGGCTTTTTGAATGGACACCCACCTGCCATGACAATACTTGTCAAACACCTGGGCTTAGAAGAACATCAAACGTACAAAACACACTGATGCCGCAGCAGTACAATGTCCCAATAATTGAGGATATAACACCCCACGTAGTGAGACTGAGAGGCTTTGATCTATCTAGGTGATATATCAACTTCGCGAATTGCAATACATCATGGTGGATAATGAACCTAAGGTGTGAATGGCGAATCATCACAATATATCAAGGTGGATAAGGACTGACCTGATAAAGCTGATCATGTCGTGGTGGTGCTTTATATCTGCCCATTCATTCTGCTTACACTCCAAGAGGTATGGGTTCATGATGTACATTCAAGAACTTGGGCTAACAAGACAGTGAGCAGATGCAAAAATGTTGGCAGCCAGTGTAGCTCGACTCACTGAATTCTGACTTCTCCCGATCCCAACACCAAAGATCTTCAAGGTGGAGCTATTGGAAAGGGTGGTTGCAATTGTGGCCTGAATGAGACGACCGAAGATCACGAGAAGGAGTTAACATCAGCCAAACAAGCACATGGAGATGTGAGTCTCACTGTATTCATTTGTACATTTGACGATGACCTCTTGGAGAGATGAGATGGATGTGGTGGGCATGTCTCAATCTGAGATGCACTCTGCCATCTCTAGATCTGTGGTAAAATTTAAAATAGACTTTGTAATGATATTGTTGATGTGAAAATGGAATACAAAGTTGAGAATTTATCAACGCAAGTATGTACTATATACATAAGATGGGTGCTGGCACTGCTACTGTCATAGTCGTTGAAATAAGAACTCGTTAGCATTATATTTTTCTTGCAAGTCTGTGCCATGACTGCCACCATCCACAAGAACATTGCATAAGACATCCTCCAGTGCAGAGAGTACACTCTTGGCATATTTTGTAGCAAGGCAGGCCTTAGCGTACCTTTTGCCAATACCTCCCTGCATAAGTAAGTCATCTTCCACCTTCCAAGTCTCAAGGAAAATTTCATTGATCACTCCTACAGCTACCCGAAGCTTCTCCAATGACCTCGTCTTCAAGTATTCCTGGAACAAGCCATCAATAATGTCATGAGGCTCCCCTCCGAGATAGGTTGTCAGGCGATCTTGCTTGTGGGGCTTTTTCTTCATTAGTTTAGTACTAATAGTTGTGACATCCCGCAAGGGACTCAGATCCTGTGTATTATGACTTGAAAATATTCAATGATAGAACTCGAGTTTAAGATACTATAACATACTGCATCAAAGATGGACTGAGTGGCACTGCACTGCAGGGTCAAATGCCTGTATCATTGTGCCTGCCTTGTCCAAGTTGAGACCAATATTTTTTCTTCCTTCTGAAACTAATCGCAGATTTATTCCTGTGCCAGAGGATGTGTCAGTTGTGTCATAAGTACAACTGTGAGTACATAGCAGTAACAAACCTTGCATAGTGTGAATGCCTCTGCATTCATTTGGTGTCACTACATTCTTCAGGAGTGTTGTAAAGCTTTGGTTGGCCCATGAGTGAGGAGTGAGGATGATGAAGTCTGCTGACAACGTTGGCATCTGTTACACAATTTGTTGGACTTTAACTATAGGACCGAAATCTGCCATTACAAGTCATTATGTTCTGCAACTGGTATTTTGTCCTGGCACCTGATCGATATATTTCAGCACCCATTCAACAACTCTCGGTATATCAGTCTGTCGTTGAGCCATTCAATTTGATTATGAGTCTACGGCAAAGTAGGTTTGTTGCAACTACTCACATTTTGTCAGACTTTTATAGAATCAAAACCCACCAAGCTCACTTGGTACCATTGAAAGGGTTGAGCTTTTTCTCATCTTTTGTCCATCTCGTCTATTTCGCCCTTTGCAAATGTAGAGTTCATGCATTGCATGGCTTTTCTTTGCTCATTGGCCTTGGTGTCATTTTCATCGTCCTTTCTGCAATCTTTTTCTCTCGTCATCTCTGTTTACACATCTACAATCTGGCATGCTCACTCAAGGCACTCATGCAGCTTAGACTCATAAAGTCATTCCAATTTCATGCAATTCATCTCCAGGCCCTGGTCATCTTCATCGTCCTTTCTGCAATCTCTCTCTCTCGTCATCTCTGTTTACCCATCTACAATCTGGCACACTCACTCAAGGCACTCGCGCAGCTTAGATTCATAGATTTTACACAACTCATCTCCATTGTGTATTGGTGCTTTTCTACTGTAATCGACTCTATGTGCAGGTCTCATTAGCTCTATTCATGCCTTGGGATAAGGGTTCACCAGGGGTTCCCAAAAGGCATGAATTACAAAATGCTTCTGAGAGATGTCAGAGCTAATTATAGAGACACCAGGGTCCAAAAATTTCACATCGCTTTTCCCGTTCCAGCATGTACAACATTTTTACCAGTGGTATGTTAACTTTTGCCTGAGATGAACGCCCTCATTAACGCCCTATGGATGTGTCATAGATATTCTTACCAGAAGTATGTCAACCCCTTTCCCGATGAACACACTTGTTAATGCCTCATGGGTGTGTTGTTAGTCATTTTCACCAAGTACTTGGTAGGTTACACAATTTGAATGCAGCAAAGTACTTATTGACGCCTTATTATAGAGATGGCACCAAAAAAGTGGACAACCCCTGAACAAGAGGAGTGGCTGCAGCCATGGTATTTGAAGTACAAAGAGACATTGGTAGGAAAGTCCAAAAACTATACTAACTTTTTCTGCAACCTTAATGAGGCATGGTTGGATGAGTTTCCTGAGCCAAGACCAAGTACCGCCACTCCTTATGGCCCTCTCACAGAAGAGGAGAAAAAAATAATGGATGCCATGGAAAAATCACGCACAAACGTGAGGGTTTCAAATACTCACCTATCACTTGGCTGACATCCACTAGAAACTTTATAATCACTTCAAAAATAGCATGGGCAGTATGAGGGCCGGTTGACAGGCGAAGGCAGATACTGTTGATGTGTTCCAGTCCATAGTGGAGAGCATCTCGGAGTGTGAAAAGTCAACACGTGCCTATCAAGAACACAAAGCTTATTCTGTCCTGTTCTACAAAGAATGTGCACAGCCTCAAGTACAGGAAGCACTGAAGGCACTAAAGGCTACTGGGGAGCAGCTCACCTCAGGGCAATACATAGCTCTCATAAAGAAAGAGACTGCGAAGGTATATGAGGCTGAGACAGATGAAGTCAAGACACAGGTGAAAGAGTTCATCGAGCAGCAGAAGGTAACACGAGAGAAACACAAAAAGGAAGGCATTTGGAGTGAGGGAAACTTGAATTACCAACAGTTAGTCACAATCTGAATACAGATCTTGCTGTGCTCACTGACCTCCATTTAGAAATCTCGACAAACTTGTGGCTGTCGTCAACAAGTTCTTGAAAGGACTTCATAATGCAACTGGCCTATCATACACGCTCCTTGCTGGTGGTCCCTCCTCTGAATCTGGTGGTTTAATTGATTGCTATAGGTTAGTTCATCTGATGTCTGATATCTCAATACATGCTTATGGTAGTTGAAGTTTTCATGTTGGCCTCACAAAGCTGGGGAACGATTTCAGTAAGGCCTACCCAGAGTTCGACATGGGAATTATGGAGCCATTCCGGGACTATCTTTACCATGTATATCATGTGTCTGACTTAGTTTAGCCAGTGCCTTACAGTTACTGACTTGTGCGTAGCTGAAGCGGCAGTCAAGAGGGCGGGGGAAAAGAGTGGATCTGTAGCCCTCAATGATCCAAATCTTTTAATATTTTCACCCGATAGACTCGATGCTGATATATCCCAAAATGGATCACCCACCCACCAGCATATATCGGCACCTTGTGATGTATCCACCCATCTACCGCCCTCTTCATTCCCAGTATTATCCAGTAATGATACATTCAGGAACTCTTTTGACGACTCATACTCCTCTGACTGGGATTCTGACTTCACACATGGGGCATTATCCATGTCTAACCTCATGCTGCCTGATGTATCAGACAGCCTACCATTATCCAGAGAGAACATATCTGCAGCCCCAGATTGCCACTCTGGCTCCTTCCTGGACTCAGATCCCAGCCTGCCGGATGAAAATGTGATGCATTCCTGGATGAGGCCAGGATTCGACGCCTTTTTATATAACTTCGGGTCATCCAGTGTGCCGGCAGACAAAGAATTCTCTCAACTTGTGTCTGCGCAGTCCTTGTCGCATGTATCTGCCCTCGCCTCTCCCACTGACAATGCAACAGTGCTGCCAATTCTTCTTCCATCCACGCAATCAGATTCTACCACAACTCTCGTTGACACCACATGCACTTTGCTGGTATTGCATGCTCCCCACACAATAGCTCCTACCTCTCCCACTGCCAATGTGACGGTGCTGCCAACTCTTCCCCCATCCACGCAGTCAGAACCTACCACAGCTCTCATTGACAGCACACATACTTTGCTGGCACTGCAGGCTCCCCATACGATAGCTCCCACTTCTCCCACTGCCAATGTGACAGTGCTGCTGACTCTTCCCCCATCCATGCAGTCAGAACCTACCATAACTCTCATCGACCGGACACCTACTTTGCTGGCATTGCAGGCTCCCCACACAATCGCTCCCAAGTTTCCCACCCCTCTGACACACTGCTCTGACACTACCACTCCTAGTATAGATGCATCAGCAACACCTTCCTGCACTCCTCCTGCAGCAGATTTTGCAATCACAGAATGTGACACCCATACTCGCCATACACGGACCAGTCGCATATGCAAACCATCAACTCGCAACATTACTGCAAATGCTATTGGCAACATGTCTTCCAAGTGTCCTCATGAACATGGTGGTGGAGGGTCTGCTGGGGGAAAATCAAAGTTTGTGTGTCCTTCTTGTATTTTGTGTGTTTTCTAACCACTCCTTAAGGAGAGCCATGACTTGACTCATATTGTGTGCCCTCGTTGGCTTACAAAGTTATCCTACTGCTGGTTGTAATCCTATTTAGTTCCGAATTTATGTATTTACTGCATGACACAAGAAAACATGATTGAATTTTGTTCCAGGACGGTGTTTTGATCACACTCACGCAACACATACTTATCCATGACTAAGACAGTGCCATATGCTAAAAAGACTAGACCAGTTTCTTATATTGTGATAGATTTTGCATCTGGGCAGCCATCTGTTCTGTATAGTCACTCATCATTATAGTTCAGCCACCCAGAAAAAGCCGGAGAAAGCTTTTTTGACAAGTCCATCCTGCTTTGGGGCATCCAAGACTTAATTCACATATGATAGTAATACAAATTGTTTGAATTCAATAGAGTGTGGAGTGCACATTCTGATTCGAGCACAAAGTTAATACAATCTGCGTGACAGCGTAATCTCCAAGTCAACACATTCAAAATACTCTTAAAGATTCATGCAGAGGCTACAAAGTCCACCCACTGTCAACAGGCTCACATGCACACTCATGAAGAGGTTAGTATTGCTGTCAAGATTGCACAGGATCTTAGAGTATCCCTCATGTGGGCACCTTAGCTTTTGACTGAAGTTCGTGATTCGACACACTCACAGGCTGCAAACAGTGGGTAATGGCTTGGATCAGCATGGCTGTTGCTCAAATGAGGACCAACACACTCATAGGCTGCAAATGGTGGGTAATGACTTGGATCAGCCTGGCTCTTGCTCGAATGAGGATCAACATACTCACATCCTGCAAACGGTGGGCAACAACTCGGATCAGCATGGCTCTTGCTTGAATGAGGATCAACATACTCACATCCTGTGAACGGTGGGCAATGACTCGGATCGGCATGGCTCTTGCTTGAACAAAGATCGACACACTCACATCCTGCAGACGGTGGGCAACGACTCGGATCAGCATGGCTCTTGCTCAAATGAAGATCAACACACTCACATCCTGTGAATGGTGTAGAGACTCATGCCTCTCATGGTCTGATATGGCAGTTTTCACTAGGGAGTTCATTGCACGAACTTGCAGCATCACTCTGGGTGCTATCTGCAGTTATTCCTATATGAGGCGCAGCTTTCCTATGCAATGTGCACCATGGGCGCACACTTCCCACGCTTCATGATGTATATGTGTGCGTGCTTTCCTGTGCTTGAGCACCCTATAGCACCAGCCATCCAGAAGCATCCATCCACTGTCCACCAAGCTCTCTAGTGCGTGTATTTCCATTTCCCTTATTTGCATATCATTCCACCTTTATTTTTATCATGGACCCTTACTTATATATATATTTACATACCTTACTCGGTAGCGCTTCAGCTCTGCATGACAGCGCTTAGGCGCCATATATAAGCGCCAGCAGTACATACCATGAGATACTACTCAACTTTACCTAACTTTACCTACCACTTACTACCTAGAAAGTCGCAGTAGGAATCTATTCCTTGACACCTTGCACTCTCATCTCTTGTCTAGTATCTCATTATCACTTAAGCAAGCTTATTCTTACTCTCTCATTTCCGCATACACACGTGCATGTTCCCGCACCTTGTGCGTACCTGCACTTTCTCATGCTTCACATTGGCCAACCAGTAGTGCTTTCAGTGCATACCTCTAGATCCTTGCTGCACTCGCTTCCCCTTTAGGGTTGAATGCACTTGTCATCTCAAGTATAGCAGACTAGGCAATGCACGACCTTACAACATTTACAGATACAGTCTGGAGCCTTGTTCATGCCTCACTGTATTGTTGTTTCTACAATGGTGGGCAATGACTCGGAGCATGGCTCTTGCTTGAAATGAGGATCGATGGACTCACTTGCTGCGAATGGTGGGCAACGACTTGGATCAGCATGGCTCATGCTCAAATGAGGATCGACACTCGCTTGAGGGTACTGTCTGTTGATGCCGACATGACCTGGGGTAGTTGGGCTGGACAGAGTGAAGCTCGGGGTGGGATGCGAGTAGCTGGAGCTGCTGAGTGTGCGGGACACTGAAAGATAAAAAAACAATAATCAGATTGTAGTTTGACTAGTACTTACATATTGGATGTGCCAAAAAATCGCTAAATGAAATTAGATTTCAAGCTATAGGCTAGTAAATGAGAGGGAGAGGCAGGTGGGGGTGAAATAATGTGAAATAAAGTGAGAAAAAGTTGTGAATGAGTTCAAGTTCATCATCGAGGAGATGGAGTGGGAGCGTGTGAAGAAGAACTCAAGATGCTGCGCTCAGCTGGATGCAACGTGATGGGCCAGGTACTTCGGCAGGCTCCATAATCCAGCACCTTGCTAAACTAGATCTAGTTCCGATCTAGGATAGCCTAATTGAGTGGGTCTGTCAATGCCGCCGGAATGAGGTAAGATTTAGCCAGCAGATAAGGTAGGCATCTTGCGGATTCTACGAACATCACGTGATAAAGCGTGATTTTGAGTGACAAAACACAGAAAAAAGGTTAACAAATCAACGAGGAAACGAGGACACAATCTGTAATGTCAATGGACAGAAAAAGCCTTTGCGAAGATTATGATATTTGCAGAATTTGCAAAAGTGCAGTTGTTAATTAGTTAACTTGATTTCTATGGATTTCTATTTTCCTGATGTCCTAGCGGAGGTCAAAGCTCGTCGACTCCGAAATGCAAGGCTGCCGTGAAGCCGACAGGCTCGTCTGAGGGCCCCGAGTTGGCATGGTTGACAAACCACAGTGGCGAAAACATCATGCTGCAGGCCTGAATGCATGGTGGGCATCAAAGCGACAAAGAACAAGCTCGGACACTGCAAAAAATGATGAAAATGTGAGTAGTAACCAAACTTCGGAAGCTGCAACAGCTCACATCAAACTCGGCACATAGGGTCATGTTGCAGATGATGTCTGCAGTGCATCGAGCAAAGCATCCAATGGTGCAGCTTTGAGTATTGTTAGCAAGCCTTTCTCGCAAGTCCCTTTCTTGGGTGCCAAGAACACATACTATTCAATTCAAAGCCCCCTGCCAAAGCCACATCTTTACAAAGTGACCTGCGAGGACACTGAAGACGAGGAAGATTTAATTGGCATCCGGGGTGTGCGCTGGAAAGAAATGGATCAAACTGAATTTCTTCTCGAAGAGATCTTTGATGAATTACTAACAGATACTTCTCACCAGACCGACAGCGCCAATCACGATGATGTCGTTTCTGATGTTGGATTGGGAGATAACAAAACAGATGCTGAGAGTGATGTTGACTTGGATGGGAATCACGGACTCGGAGGAGATGGAAATACTTGAGACTATTCTTTCGAGCTCAGAAAGCCACCCACTGTCGAGGAAGCCAGGAAGGCATTGAATGAGCTAAGGACATTGTTGAAGCCCCCTCGACATGATCAGACAGGTTACCATGACCCGAAACTCCCCCCAATTTTACAGGAGAGGCTCAACCACATGAAAAATTTTCTCTGGCTATACACAGATGTTGGCAGTGATGGGAGGGCACATCCTGCAAATTTCGTAGGTGGTCATTGGGGTAAAGCAGCTGACCGTGCAGCCTGCAATGCTCAAGCAGGGAAAAGAGGTCAACTTTACCTCTCGCGTTGTCTACGAAGTTGGTTGAAGGCATACATCAAGGATCGAAATGCACTGCCTCATCGTGCACCCCGACATTCAGAATCTCGCATCAATGATGAATCCTTTGCTGCGGATTTAAAGCTCCACCTTCAAAGTGTAGGGAAATTTGTGCATTCGCAGGACCTGGTGGATTACCTTAATGTTCCGGAGAACCAGACACATTTTGGTATGCAGAAAGGAATCTCCCTCAAAACGGCACAGCAATGGATAGGGCGGCTCGGCTATCGATGGAAGATGGAACCAAAGGGGTAATATTCTGATGGACATGAACGTGATGACATCATTCACTATCGTCAAAATGTGTTCCTACCTGCATGGAACCACTACCACACACGAATGTGCCAGTGGACAGACAAGAATATCTCTACAGCAGTACAAGACTTGACAGAGTCTTCATCTTCAACCGGCCGTCGAGTTGTGCACTGGTTTCATGACGAGTCGATGTTTTATGCACATGATCGGAGAAAGCAGCGCTGGGTCCACATTAACGAGAGTGCTGTACCACTTCCAAAAGGAGAGGGTGCTTCTTTGATGGTTGCCGATTTTGTTTCTGCAGTTTATGGTTGGCTTCATTCCGCTGATGGAAAGGAGAGTGGACGTATTCTGTTCAGAGCAGGAAAGGCACGAGATGGATATTTCACCAACAATAATATCATCGCACACGCTGAGAAAGCTATGGATATTCTGTCAAGAGACTACCCCAATGAAGACCATGTCCTCATTTTTGACAATGCCACTACTCACCGCAAGCGTGCTGATGATGCGCTGTCCGCTCGCAAGATGCCAAAGAATCCATCAAAATCCTGGGGTGTAACACTGGCTGTAAAAGATGTGAATGGAAAACCTCTTGTGGGTGCGGATGGTAAACCAGTCAAGCAATGTATTCGGATGGCTGACACATGCTTCGCTAATGGTGATACACAGTCACTTTATTTTCCTGAGGGGCACGAAAAGGCAGGATGGTTTAAGGGAATGGTGCAGTTGCTTGTCGAGAGGGGATATGCTGACGCACCTAAGCTTAGGGCGGAGTGCAAAGACTTCAAGTGTTTGGGTGATAGGACCGATTGCTGTTGCCGTCGGCTGATGTACAGTCAACCAGGCTTCACAGTTGTCGAGTCTCGACTTGAATCTTCATGCCGAGCCACCCCATCTTGGTGGATGGATATATCACTTTGGGCTATAGCCCTAAAACTGGTATACATCCATTAGCTGAATTATCCATATCCAAAAGGATGTATCCCTTGGTGGATCCCAAATGCTATCATACACAGCCGCATTTTTCGCATTTTTGAAACTCAGCTCCAGGATATATTCCATGTGTGGTAATTCACAAAACATACCCATTTTGGTAGCCTGCAGCCTTCTACATTATTCCCACACTCCGCATTTTTTGTATTTTTAGCTATACTGTGCCTACATCAGTTAAAAATAGATTGCTTCTCATATTAGGGCCTCCCCACATTATCCCCACACCGCATTTTTAGCCACCTACTGTGGGAATTTCCCCACTATTCCAAAAACATCACTCATTTTGGGAATCTCCACAATATCAATTATTCCCACACCCTCCCCACCTCACTGCAGCTTCACCACCACACCACAATAGGTCCCTGTGCATATATAAGTAGTAGTTTAGTATATATATGTATAATATAATATAATAGACTGCTTTTTTGTTTGTTTATGTGACTGCTCCTCCTCTAGGGGCAATTCAACATAGGGGAGGATATAGAACACTTTCGCATTTTTGCCCCTTTGGTGGGGAAGTGTTCTATGACATTCAGAACATGTTTATGAGCATATATGAGTAGATTCCCATCTTTATTTTACCCCCTGAAGTGTCCTACATCAATAGATATAGCACATATGCAAGAAAACACAGAATATGTTCCCATTCAATTATTTCTAGGTGAACAGACTTGTAAAAATAATTCCCAGCATCTTTTCAACAATAGGAACAATGTATCAGGAGCACAGGACCATAGGACAATATCCTGCTGCATGGTGTGACCTCCCTCTCCTGGTGGTTTACCCCCTGTGAATTTTTTTCCTGTAGGACCGGACCTCAATTGAGGTAGGGGGTCTATTACTATGTATATTTGGAGTAGATTTATCATATAGCTGGCCCAGGACACACATAGGATCTTGCTATAGAAACAAAAACATGAAAAATCACACTTTTGACATTTTTGACATTTTTCAGTATCTTACTCTTGCATAGATGATCTAGCCTGTTCATGTATCATTAGAATAGCATATATACTTGCTTTTTATGACAAGGATCAGCCCTACATAGGGCGCAAATTTGAGATCTAATGTAAAGAGGGTATTTTGACTGATAAGGAGCCCATATTGTCAAAACATCGAAATTTAATAATCAGATACTGAAAAATGTCAAAAATGTCAAAAGTGTGATTTTTCATGTTTTTGTTTCTATAGCAAGATCCTATGTGTGTCCTGGGCCAGCTATATGATAAATCTACTCCAAATATACATAGTAATAGACCCCCTACCTCAATTGAGGTCCGGTCCTACAGGAAAAAAATTCACAGGGGGTAAACCACCAGGAGAGGGAGGTCACACCATGCAGCAGGATATTGTCCTATGGTCCTGTGCTCCTGATACATTGTTCCTATTGTTGAAAAGATGCTGGGAATTATTTTTACAAGTCTGTTCACCTAGAAATAATTGAATGGGAACATATTCTGTGTTTTCTTGCATATGTGCTATATCTATTGATGTAGGACACTTCAGGGGGTAAAATAAAGATGGGAATCTACTCATATATGCTCATAAACATGTTCTGAATGTCATAGAACACTTCCCCACCAAAGGGGCAAAAATGCGAAAGTGTTCTATATCCTCCCCTATGTTGAATTGCCCCTAGAGGAGGAGCAGTCACATAAACAAACAAAAAAGCAGTCTATTATATTATATTATACATATATATACTAAACTACTACTTATATATGCACAGGGACCTATTGTGGTGTGGTGGTGAAGCTGCAGTGAGGTGGGGAGGGTGTGGGAATAATTGATATTGTGGAGATTCCCAAAATGAGTGATGTTTTTGGAATAGTGGGGAAATTCCCACAGTAGGTGGCTAAAAATGCGGTGTGGGGATAATGTGGGGAGGCCCTAATATGAGAAGCAATCTATTTTTAACTGATGTAGGCACAGTATAGCTAAAAATACAAAAAATGCGGAGTGTGGGAATAATGTAGAAGGCTGCAGGCTACCAAAATGGGTATGTTTTGTGAATTACCACACATGGAATATATCCTGGAGCTGAGTTTCAAAAATGCGAAAAATGCGGCTGTGTATGATAGCATTTGGGATCCACCAAGGGATACATCTATTTGGATCATGGATAATTAGACTGAATGATGTATCACAGTTTTAGGGCTATAGTCCAGTTTGGATGTATCATTCTAGCTATATGGCCTTGCCGAGCGCGGGGATTTGATGTAATCTTTTTGCCGAAATTCCACTGCGAATTGAACTTTATTGAGCAGTGTTGGGGCTTCGCGAAGCATCTTTATCGAATGAAGGATCAGTCATCATCAGAGGCCGTTCTGGAGCATAATGTGATTACATCACTTGATGATGCTGTGCCAATGCCATCTATGCGGCGGTGAGTTTTCATGTAATCGGACTATTAAATCTTGATTAATTCTCACGCAGCTTCACAAACAGATCCCTTCGGTTCATTGATGCCTATCAGAAGGGATTGAACGGAGTCCAAGCAGCGTGGGCAATCAAAAAGTACCGTGGCCATCACGTTCTTCCAGAGTCCATCATGCGAGAGTTTGATCAAGTCTCCATTTAAGTTTTTTAGCATATTTTCATTGGTATATATCTCACATAAAGTGTTTTAATGTCTGCATTTGTATATGCACACTCTACAGTACTACCTACTCACTTATCCTCCTCGCCATTCGCTCGACATCTACCTTACTTTACTTATCCTCTTCGGCATCCACTCGGCGTAGTTAGCATTGACATGTCACACTCATGTCACATCATGTGATGTTCGTAGAATCCGCAAGACGCCTACCTTATATTGAACGAGCTCACGCCCGTTGTGCCTTCGGCACAAATCGAAGGAGCGCTACGCGCTCCTTCAGGGGAGAAAAATGAGTGTTGTTCCTTCGTCACAGGAAGCCAAGGAGGGCTATGCCCTCCTTTGGCTTCCTGGCCTCAGGCTGCATCCTAATAAATTGTGCATTTTGAATGATTTTGAAATATATTTATGAGCAGCTTTTCAAAGAACTCAAAAGTACAATAGTACATAAGATCAGTCAGTGCTATGTTCTTTGAGCAGGATTTTGACCAATGTAAAAAATACAAAATATGTAACAGTATCATTGAATGTATTTGTTTTCCCATTTTCCCCTGCCTCCCATCTAGGGATCAGCAGGGGTATGGGAAACTTGAGGGTAGGGGTAGGGGTTTGGATCTGAAGACCCCTGTACCCCTGGAAATATATCCCCAAATTGATTACCATAGGAGTGATGGATAAGTATAAAATTTTGAAGTTGTACATTTGCCTTCAAATGGTAATATATGTGATTGGAAAAAGTGTTACCATGGGGTATACCCATGCTAATCCCTACTCCCTGCTCCCTGCTCCCATCTCCCTACTCCCATCTCCCTACTCCCGTCTCCCGTCTCCCGTCTCCCATCTCCCGTCTCCCGTCTCCCGTCTCCCGTCTCCTGTCTCCTGTCTCCCGTCTCCCGTCTCCCGTCTCCCGTCTCCAGTCTCCCGTCTCCCGTCTCCCGTCTCCCGTCTCCCGTCTCCCGTCTCCCGTCTCCCGTCTCCCGTCTCCCGTCTCCCGTCTCCCGTCTCCCGTCTCCCGTCTCCCGTCTCCCGTCTCCCGTCTCCCGTCTCCCGTCTCCCGTCTCCCGTCTCCCGTCTCCCGTCTCCCGTCTCCCGTCTCCCATCTTCCCGATCTCTCTGTTTCCCATCTCCTGTCCTCCTGATCTCTCTGTTTCCCATCTTCCATCCTCCCGATCTCCCTGTTTCCCTGTTTCCCATTTTCCCATCCTCCCCATCTTCTGTTCTCCTATCTCCTCCCATTCTCCCTGTTTCCCATTCCCAATTTTCCTGCCTCCTCACTATCTCCTGTTCTCCAGTTGTCGAGTCTCTACTTTCTCTATTTTTTATTTATTTTTTCACAACCTTTTCTCATTCATTTCCTGTCACCACATATATTTGTTGTCCCCCTGTCTGCAAAATTATATCATGTTGTTCCATTTTCAATTTTATTATTTACTGTATGCATGTAACATAAACAATTACATTACAATAAGGAAAATACTTGTGTGCGCTGCTCTAATGGGCAAGTGAGTCGGCGCTCGAAAGCCACGCGAGAAAACCACGCGAGATTTCCAAAAACAGGTTTAAGCAAGCTTAGCGAAATACTCGAAATACGCGAAAGCCACGCGAGCGCCCGAGCGTTTCCGAAACCGTCGTACTTTACTTCTTAGACGAGCTCACGCCCGTTGTGCCTTCGGCACAAATCGAAGGAGCGCTACGCGCTCCTTCAGGGGAGGAAAATGAGTGTTGTTCCTTCATCACAGGAAGCCAAGGAGGGCTACACCCTCCTTTGGCTTCCTGGCCTCAGGCTGCATCCTAATAAAGATTACGTAGAGAGGAGTTGGAGAGCCTTTCGGATGCAAAGTGCTTGGCATGACAGTTACGACACTCTACATTAAGAGGACCAAGAGTGTTGCGGTCAATTGGTTCACTGTAAGGTCGGGCTCCATCAGGAATATGAACCACCTGATTGACATGCTGGTCATCCTCTGCCTCACGCTGCTGGCGGCGTTCCTGCTGCTGGGTTCTTATTCTTTCTTCATCGTCAACATGCTGCTCCTGAGATGCTGGATCATCATATTCACGGAAAGCCTCTTCAAGACGCTCATCCTGTTCACGTATCCTTTGTTCCCGCCGGCGTTGAGCCTCCTCTTCCTCCTGATGTACTCGCTGAGCATCCTGCAGTTCTCTATTGTGCTGGTCCTCTTGTTGTTGAGCTGCTCGGAGACGATCCTGATCCTGTCTGTTGTGAAGCTCCTCCTCCTGCTGCTGCAATTGAGCCTGTCTCTGGATTCTCTCAACTTCTTGTTGCTGCAATCTCTGAATCCTCTCAGCTTCTTGCTGCTGCAGGTGGAGAGCCTCCTGCTGCTGCAATTGAGCCTGTCTACGGACCCTCTCAGCCTCTTGTTGCTGTAATTGCAGCTGCACTTGATTTCGACGGAATTCCTCCTGTGCTTGCCTTTGAAGCAAGTCATTTCTAATGCGCTCATGTTCCCTTTGCTCTGCATTAATATGATCTTGAAACTGAATATTGAACTGATGATAATCAGGTTCAGGTAATGCAGGTCTAGGTGGAGCATGATTAGGCACAAAGTAGCGGAGTGGATCATCAAAGTTGTGAGGACCAACAGCGCCCTCATAATGAATAGGGCCATATGCAGGAGGAGCAGGAGGAGCAGGCTGAATGTGCTGGTTAGGAATCGGAAGCATCTGTGGAGGCTGCATGAGTTCTGCCTGTGCCTGCTGTCTTATCTCCTCTCTGTCCTGTTGCCGACGAATATTACGTCGACGGCGTCTATCATTATGAGCTGCATTCATTTGCTCATTCAAGCGTGCATTATAATCCACTGGAGGATGTCGATGAGCACGCTCCACATGCGCAATTGCATTTCGTGGCAAGCCAGGATACTGCTCGACTGGTAGTGGTTGATATCGAAAGTAGGGAGGAGGTTGCTCCACAAAAGGTTGTGGAACAGGCCCTGCTTGGGGCTCATTAGCCGGCACAAAATTAGGCTGAGGTACAGGATGCGGAGGCCTATTTTGATTATCATGGGCAGCATGGCGACGATTGCGCCTTGTAGGAGATGTCATCTGAAGTCGATTGAGTCTGTCGCGTTCACATTGTGAGTGACGGTCGCGTTCGGGGGTTATTTGATCTTGATTGCTAAATAGTACGTGCAGACATTAGCATCATGCACCTTATGCATAGCAATATCTCAGCAACTCACAGAATAGGTATATATCCATCCATGGTTGTTAAATTCAAACGGTTGTTTATCAAATGCAAATTTTGCCTGAATTCATCAATAAGTCATTTCTATCATCATTGATAAGAAATGAAACCCACAAAAAGTGTATATATCACACTTGATTAAACTTGGCTGCAGGGGAAGGCAATTTAGCTCAAGAACGCTATTCAAAAGCAGCAGCCAAGTTGTGTAATGATTTGTGTAACCAAAAGTGTAATCAAATTTCTATTATTGCTTTTGTTATTCTCGATGCCTTTCCCCCATGAGAGGAAAAGTCAGTTGTTTGTCCGTGTTGTACACGCAGCGCAGTAAGCGTGAGGATCACTGTCCACTATATCGCGTTTGGCAGTATTTTCGGACTTTCACACAATTTGTTCGTTTACACTCTTCTTACTTAGTCTTAAATTAGTCTTAATGTTAGTCTTAGTCTTAGTCTTAGCGAGCGCACGCGAGAAAACCACACGAGATTCCAAAAACAGGTTTAAGCGAGGTAAGCGAAAGCCATGTGGCTCTAAGCGTATCTACGCGGCGTAAGCGCAAACCACGCGAGCGCGCGAACGTTTCCGAAACCTTTCTCCCTTTCTTCTTAAGACGAGCTCACGCCCGTTGTGCCTTCGGCACAAATCGAAGGAGCGCTACGCGCTCCTTCAGGGGAGAAAAATGAGTGTTGTTCCTTCGTCACAGGAAGCCAAGGAGGGCTACGCCCTCCTTTGGCTTCCTGGCCTCAGGCTGCATCCTAATAAATTGTGCATTTTGAATGATTTTGAAATATATTTATGAGCAGCTTTTCAAAAAAACTCAAAGTACAATCTATCACACCACATAAAAGTACATAGTACTACATACAATCAGTCAGTGCTATGTTCTTTGAGCAGGATTTTGACCAATATAAAAATACAAAATATGTAACAGTATCATTGAATGTATTTGTTTTCCCATTTTTCCCTGCTTCCCATCTAGGGATCAGCAGGGGTATGGGAAACCCTTGAGGGTAGGGGTAGGGGTTTGGATCTGAAGACCCCTGTACCCCTGGGAATATACCTCCAAATTGATTACCATAGGAGTGATGGATCAGTATAAAATTTTGAAGTTGTACATGTGCCTTCAAATGGTAATATATGTGATTGGAAAAAATGTTACCATGGGGTATACCCATGCTAATCCCTACTCCCTACTCCCTACTCCCTACTTCCTACTCCTGTCTCCTGTCTCCTGTCTCCCATCTCCTGTCTCCCATCTCCCGTCTCCTGTCTCCCGTCTCCTGTCTCCCATCTCCCATCTCCCGTCTCCCGTCTCCCGTCTCTGTTCTCTCAGTCTCCCATCTCCTGTCTCCTGTTCTCCCATTTCCCCATTTTCCTGTCATCACATTCTCTGGTTTTTGAGTCTACATTGTCTTTGTCTCCTTTTTTTATTTGAATCTTATCTCCTGTCACCACATTTGTTATCTCCCTGTATGTAATTGTATCATATGTTGTTCCATTTATGTACATATACAGTCACTACTAATAATTGCAGTAGGCAAAACACTCAAATCCTGTTGTCCCCCTGCTCAAACACATTATTTAATGCCATGTACACATACAGTTACCAATGTTGTTGCGCAACATTCCCAATGGGTGACGTTGTTTGAGTCGCCGCTCGAAATATACATGAAAACCATGCGAGTTTCCAAATAGAAGTTCAAGCGAGGTAAGCGAAAACCATGTGGCCTTAGGCGAATCTAAGTGTATCTCACATCGGGGTGAACGATATTTAAAAGAGGTTTATATGTTGTACAAAATGTGAAAACAATATTTGATATTTAAACTAACATAAAGATGGGTGCACTACTTCAAATTTTGGTGGTGTTTTGTGTGTCATCCAAAATATCAAATATTCACAACCATATTCCCACAGACAATATGTCAACAAATTACCTTGCGAAGCAAGGTCAGGTTCACATGGATCATTTTATGTGATTTCCAAATAATAGTAAATACAGTGACGCCATACAACGTGATACGATGATGCGAACTTATCACCTACCTCCGATTTCCCTTCCAATACTTGTCGTTTTCTGAATAACAAAGTAATAACTTAGACCGTGCAACTCCCTCGCGCCCAGAGCTCCGCCCACAGGGCGAAGCTAGCGCGCTTCCCTTCCAATATTCGTCGTTTTCGGACAACTCCCTTTTTTGTTAATATGTTGGTAATAATGTGATGAATAAATAAAAATTAATCCTATAATTTTACGCCGCGCCCCTAAACATCGTATTTACTATCTATCTATCGAAACACCATGCAACCTAGCGTATTTGAACTGCTAAGTACCTCAGACAATCAATGTGCCTTCATTTTCAGTGAGTATAGACTGAGAATTACTGATATCGTTCTGGATCCCAGAGAGCCAAAGATTGGGAGCAACGCTGTGGAAGCAAAGAGAGCATTCTTGCGTTATCCCCCTGCATTTGTTATCATTCACCTCGACTTCTGCGATTTACCGCCATTGCACGGACTTCTGCCTCAGCACATACCAGTGTTACCTTGCGAAATTAAATTTTCCATGGGCACAGGTCCTTCTACAAGAATCACGCGGCGTCAACTCCCTGTAACACCAGCTTACGCATTTACCGACTTTAAAGCACAAGGACAGACGATTGATCACGTTTTAGTGGACATTGGAAGAACGACATGTTTTCGCCTATCTCCCTTCAATGCATACGTCGCACTATCCAGAAGTCACGGCCGAGAATGCATACGTCTTCTCAGAGACTTCGACAATGATCTATTCCTTCAACATCCAAACGAAGACCTTCGGATAGAAGATAACAGGATTGAGCGACTCGCGGAGGAAACGAAAAAGTGTTTCTCGAGGACAGACAGTCTGACAGAAAACAAGGTACCATAGTGCAGTACACTGAAAGAAACAATGTAGTAGTAGCTATATAGTGATGTCAGAAGAAATCCTGGGACGAAGCCAGACTAAACGAGCACGATAGAGCTAGAAAAAGACGGAATGTGAGCAAGGTCCACATCGGCAACGCCGACCCCTAGTATAATAAATATAATCAGATTTTCCATGTCTGCTTCAATTTAAAGTTTGATTCTTACATAAAACTTTGGAGAAAACTCGAAGTTTTGCCAAAGCTTGACATTTAAATCGAGTTTTAATGTCATGTCATCTGTAAAACTTCAAGTTTTCTCCAAAGTTTTACATGGAAATTGAACTTTAAGTTGAAGCAGACATGAAAAATCTGACTATATTTCCTATGTTTGTTGACGTATTGTCTGTGGGAATATGGTTGTGAATATTTGATATTTTGGATTACACACAAAACACCACCAAAATTTGAAGTCGTGCACCCATCTTTATGTTAGTTTAAATATTAAATATTGTCTTCACATTTTGTACAACATATAAACCTCTTTTAAATATCGTTCACCCCGATGTGTCTAAGCGTATCTAAGCGTATCTAAGCGTATCTAAACGAAAACCACATGGCGCTACGCGAAAACCACGCGAGCGCGCGAACATTTCCGAAACCTTTCTCCCTTTCTTCTTAAGATGGGCGGATGCAACGGTGGAACCGGGAATGTGCAACCATTTGTAGTATTCGACCCCCAGTTAAAATGGTCCTAAGAAGCTACACATAAAGGATATATCCTGATACATCAAGATGGACAGTGGATAACAACAGATGTGAATGTATCACAGTTTATGGCTTACAGTACTGTTTAGATGTATCATAATGACAGTATTGTTGAGAGCCGATGTGTCCGAGGGAAGTAAGGCCGAGAGAGAGAGAGCTGAGGAAGGAAAGGACGATACGGCCGAAGAATAGAGCACATCGAGTGCGAGCGTCTCCAAACGGAGAACGTCGACGACGTGTCAACGTCGGCAATCTTTTCGTTCTTTAAGTATATATTTTTCATCAAAGCTATTGCTGGCAGACTCACCGTATAAGAGGACGCTGTTTTCGTCGAAACGTCTCAGATTCGAAACGAATACTGAGACGTAAGTACAAGTCCCACTGTAACGTTCGAGCGCAAGCGCTGACGTACATCTAGTCGTACCTTTGTTCTAGGTACAAACAATTGTTAATAGAGATTCGAAACGAATACTGAGACTCGTACCTTTGTTCTAGCGTGTCGTAAAACCTCCCGCGTGTATCGTTCCTCCACAGGTTATGAGCCCTGTCTCCTCCATGGACTTGTCGACTCCCAGCACCAATTCAAACCTTTTTAACATCCCGAAGCTCGCCGAAGATGGCTCGAACTGGATAACCTACAAGGAAAGGACGTTAACGGCTATAGGTGCACGAGGACTTACGAGATATACCGATGGACGAGCTAAAGAGCCTACGCCTTTCGTAAAGAGCTCTACGGGGGCCGTTACGAAGCCGGATGGTACAACACCTACGCAGAAAGAAATCGATGAGCTCGACGCAAAGACCGATGAGTATCAACAAAAGAACTCACTCGTAAAACAGCAAATATTTTGCACGATCACAGATCGGCTGCTGTTACGTGTCCAAAAGTTAGCATCCGCGTCCGAAATCTGGAAGGAAATATGCCACATACATGAAGGCAAAACCGAACTCGTCCAGATAGATCTGAGACGGAGGCTCCAGGAGACGAGGTGCGAAGAAGGTGGTGACGTCAAGGCTCATTTTTCAGAGCTTTTGCGCCTGAGGGAGTCGTTAGCTGGAATGGGGGTAGCCGTCATTGATACGGACTTTCATGCCATCATCCTAGGGTCCTTACCTGAATCCTACCGGCCGCTACTGTCGTCGATGAACGCAGCGGCCAAGATAACGAAAACTCCCCTCTCGCCCTACGAACTCATCACCATCATCACAGAGGAATACGAGCACCGGTTACTCACCGAACGACGTCCCAACAAACGCGGGACCAACAGTGCGCTCTCCGCGAGAACAAATGCAGGGAGGAGCACAAGCTCGCAGAGCTCGGCTCCAAAATCCAACCCCGACGCAGTCTGTACGAACTGCGATCGTAAGGGCCA